ACATATCCCAGTTTATAATACTATATCCAAGATTTATATAGCAAAGGATAGCTAACAAATTAAATCTATTAAGAAATAACAACAGGTCTGAAAAAAAATAGGGTAGATACATTTGTCTAACTAAATGCATTAAAAAAAAAAAAATTCCCTGTTCTCCCAAGCCCTGCCCAGCAGTGAGGAGGAATACCCCTGGGGTGCCATGGGAGGCTAAATAGGAAACCTGGACTTCTACTTCCACCTGAAAGTAGTAAGATGGTACCTAATAACTCCTGCCAATGTGTTATCAGAGGAGGCCTGTTAACAAGATTAAAATTAGATCCTCAGTCTCATAAAATAATACCCAAAATGTCTAAGATATAATACAAAATCACTGCTTATATCAAGAACCAAGAAAATTTCTATATGAATGAGAAAAAAACAATGAACAGATGCCAACACCAACACCATCAAGATGACAATCTAGTTGGAATTATCTGACAAGGATTTTTGATCAGCCTAATAAAATGTTTCCATGAGTAATTAAAAACACAGTTGACCAGAAAAAATAGGAAGTTTCAGCAAAGACAGAGAATTTATAGAAAAACCAACAGTCTGTAGTAGAACTGAAAAAAATACAATAACTGAAATGGATGCATTCAACAGCAGAGTGAGGAAAAAATGGATCAGTCAACTTGAAGAAAACAGTATAAATTTTCTAATGTGAACAAGAGAAAAAAAGAAGATAAAAATGAACAGAGCCCCAGGAATTTATATGGCTATAACAAAGGATCTAGCATTCATGTTATCAAGTTCCGGAAGGAGAAGAGAAAGAAGGCAAGGGTAAAAAAATGTATTAAAAAAAACAATGTCTAAACATTTCCCAAGTTTGGCAGAAGACATAAACCTGTATATTCAAGAGGTTAAGTGAACACAAAATAAGATAAACTCTTAAGAAATCTAAGCCAAGACACATCATGGTCAAACTTCTAAAAACTACAGGCAATGAAAAAAAATCTTTAAAGCAGCTGGAGAGAAAGAACACCTTACTTTTAGGGGCAAAACAAAATGACAAAAGATTTTTCATCAGAAATCAGAGAATACAGAAGGAATTGATGTAACAGTAAAAGAATATAACTGTTTACCTAGAATTCTTTATCTAGAAAAAAGGAGTTAAGGGGGAAATCAAGACATTCTTAGAAAAAGGAAAGTAATTTGTTGCTAGCATATCTACTCTGAAAAAAATGGCTAAGAAAGTAAGGAAGAAAGGAAATCATTAAAAAATAAAAGGATCTTACAACATGAGAATGGAAGAAAGGACAATGGAGAAAGTAAAAATACGAGTTCTGAGAAAGGACCGAAGAGGAAGGACTAGTGCAATATGGAGTGGTGCCAAACTACAGGCATGTGAACAAGCCATGGAGAAGAGCACTACAGTGGGGCTGTGCATAATCAGAGCTTCAGTCTCCATTCTCCAGCACACACTCATCATGAACATGGTAGACACACGTGGCTGCTTACCTAATATGCAAAACTCTCCTATTTTCTTGTTAACGAAGCCATGATTTAGATCTTACCTGACCATGCACATGGTGAATCAAGAGAAGCCAGTTCCCTCCCAAGACCTACATATTAAATTTATAGTTGCTCAAAGCCAATTGTTGTAGTTCCATTCCCTCATCAATACCTGATTCAGGCAGGGGCATAAGAAGAAACTCTAAACAGGGATTCATTAAAATAAATAAATAAGTGAATAAATAAATAAATAGCAGGGATTCACTAACAGATTATCTCCTGAGGGACTGCTGAGAAAGGATAAAAACATATGCAATGGCATTAATACTATCCATTTTTCTCACTGTGAAAGTCACTAATATCTGAAAATGTGGCAGCCAACCTGAGAATAAACTCACATACTACAGAGCACAAACAAAAAGACAGAAAAAACTTGATTTCTTAACTACATCATTGAAGGGCTGAATCAACCAGATCTAACACTAACCTTCCTTTAGAGTCATATTACAAAAAATATCTTTTTCTTATCTATTTCCCATTTTCATGTAATGCTGGACAGTAGTCCAGCATATGAATTTACCATAATTATGCAACTATTTCTCTATTATTGGATCCTTAAGTTGCCTTTTTTTCTTTTTTTCCCCATTATAAAAGCTGATGCAATGAACATCTTTTGGTATAAAGTTTTATCTAAATTTAGGATATGATTTCCATGGATTACATTTCTAGAAGTGAAATTACTATGTCAAATGATATATGACCTAATCCTAGCCAGTGAGAGGAAATGAAACATTTACTGGGTAAATTTTTCACTCTTATAAAGAACAAGAGACAATGTCTTTCAATGGACATTAGCATGTCATATATAATACCTTGAACCATACCAATTTGAGAACAAAGCCAAGTAATTAAAAGATGGACATCTGATACTGTTGTTGAACCCCTGAATTAACCAACTTCAAGGACCCTACTTTTAGTCTTTTTCCATTATTTAAATTATAGTTCACTTTCAATATTTTTTATTTGACACACAATGTTGCATTAGTATCAAGTATACAACATAGTGATTCAACATCTCCATACATTATGCTATGCTCATAAGTTTACCTACAATCTGTCACCATACAACGCTATTACAATATCACTGAAAATATTCCCCTATGTCTTTTATTTCTGTGATTTATTCATTCTATAACTGGAATCCTGTATCTTCCACTCTCCTTCATACATTTTACCCTTCCTTTCCACACACTCCCCCCACCCTATGGCAACCATCAATTTGTTCTCTGAATCTGCTTTTTGTTTGTTTATTCACTTTTGTTTTTTACATTACACATGCAAATAAAATCACATGGTATTTGTCTTTCTCAAGACCTCATCCTTTCTTTGTTGCAGTGTAATGTTCTATTTTGTGTGTGTGTGTGTGTGTGTGTGTGTGTGTACATATATACACACATCTTGTTTATCTATTTATCTACTGATGGACACTTAAATTTCTCCCATATCTTGGCTACTGTAAACAATGCTGCAATAAACATAGGTGAGCTTATTTTTTTTTCAAATTAGGGCTGTCACATTCTTTGCATAAATACCCAAGAGTGGAATTATTAGATCTTATGTTATTTTTATTTTTAATTTTTGGAGGAACCTCCATACTGTTTTCCAGAATGGCTGCACCAATTTTTACATTCCCACCAACAGTACACATGGGTTCTTTTTTCTCTACATCCTCATAAACGTTTAATATTTCTTGTGTATTTGGTTTTAGCCATTCTGAAAGGTGAGGTGGTATGTCACTGCAGTTTTAATTTGTGTTTCCCTGATGATGAGTGCTGCTGAGCATCTTTACATGTGACCCTTGACCATGTGGATGTCTTCTTTGGAAAAATGTCTATTCAGATCCTCTATCCATTTTTTAATTGGATTGGGTTTTCTGGGGTTGAATTGTAAAAGCTCTTTATATATTTTAGATATTAACCCATTATTGGATATGCCATTTGAAAATACCTTTTCCCATTCAGTAAGCATCATTTTTTTACTTTTGCTAATGGTTTCCTTTGCTGTGCAAAAGCTTTTTATTTTGATGTAGCCTAATAGTTTATTTTTGCCTTTGCTTCCCTTGCCTTAGGAGACATATCTAGAAAAATGTTGCTATGACTGATATCGAAGTTACTGGGCTTTAATCCATGTTGAGTTTATTTTTATGTATGTGTTAGGAAGTGGTCCAGTTTCATTCTTTTGCATGTAGCTGTCCAATTTTCTCAGCACCACTTACTGAAGTGACTGGCTTTTGTCCCATTGTATATTCTTGCCTCTTTTGCCATAGATTAATTGACTACATAAATATGGGTTTATTTCTGGGCTCTCTGTTTCACTGATGTATGTGTCTTTTTGGGCCAGTACCATACTGTTTTGATTACTACAGTTTTGTAGCATGTCTTGGAATTTGGGACTGTGATACCTCCACCTTTGTTCTTCTTTCTCAAGCCTCTTTTGGCTGTTCAGTTTTTTGTTTTGTTTTGTTATTTTTGTATGTGTGGTTCCATACAAATTTTAGTATTATTTGTTCTAGTTCTGTGAAAAATGCTGCTGGTATTTTGATAGGGATTGCACTGAAAGTATGGATAGCTTTGGGTAGTAGTGACATTTAAACAATATTAACTCTTCCAATTCAAGAGCATGGAATATCTTCCTATTTGTTTGTGTTGTTTTCAATTTCTTTCATCAGTATTTTATAGTTTTCAGAGTACAGGTCACTGTCCTGATTAAGTTTATTCCTAGGCATTTTATTCTTTTTGGCGCATTTGTAAATGGAACTGTTTTCTTAATTTCCCTTTTCTGCTACTTTGTTATTAGTGTATAGAAATGCTACCAATTTTTGCATATTAATTTTGTACTCTGCAACTTGACTATTACTTCTAATAGTTTTTTGGTAGAGTCTTTAGGGTTTTCTATGTATGGTATCATGTCACCTACAAATAGTGAAAGTTTTACTTCTTCCTTACCAATATGGATGCCTTTTATTTCTTTTTCTTATCTGATTACTATGGTGAGGACTTTCAGACTATGTTGAATAAAACTGGTGAAGTGAACTTCCTTGTTTCTGATCTTAAGAGAAAAATTCCCTCGTTTTTCGCTACTTAGTATGATGTTAGCTATGGTTCTTTTTATATAAGATAATAAATCATAAAAAGTCCAAAAAATTCAATGGAAAATTAGCTCATATCAGCCATTTGTATGCCCAGAGATAAAACTGAGAACTGCTTATGGTATCACAGTGAACAATTCAAACCGACTCCTGTTTCAGTTATGAAGATTAATGTAAGTTTTAAATAAACACTCCTGAACAGTCACATTTTTTCAAAAGAATTAGAGTTAATGCTATTTGAAGAACATCTAAATAAAATCTAGGGTCATTAATTTAGACTGCAAATTAGAAAAAAAATCATTTAATTCAAAATGGTCTTCAAAAAGCAAAAATAAATGAACACAAAGTATGTTGTACTTACAAATCAAACACCAAATAATGGAAGCCCTCTTCTGATATGCTGTCATGAAGTCGCACTAAAAAAAAGGCGGGGGGAGAAAAAAGTTTATGTTATACATATGCCAATGATGAACATTAAACCAGACTTCTACTGGGCTTCTGTATCCTAACTAAAAGTGCTGGCAACATCTTTTTTCTATGCTCTGATAACTAGTATTCTTTATAACAAGGCTTGGGTTCAGACAAACCCAAGGTTTAGATTCTGGTTCTGATTATTAGTACTGTGTAGAGTTAATCTTTTTCTTTTTCTTTTTTTTTTCTTTTGTTAAGAGAGAGAGAGAGGAGAGAGGGCAAGCAGGAGAGGGAGAGTCAGAAGGAGAGGGAGAGAGAAAGAATCTTAATTAAGCAGACTCCACACTCAGTGCAGAGTCAGAAGGAAAGGGAGAGAGAATCTTAATTAAGCAGACTCCACACTCAATGCAGAGCCCAATGTGGGGTTTCATCCCACAACCCTGAAATCATGACCTGAGGCGAAATCAAGAGCCAGATGCCCAACTGACTGAGCCACCCAGGTGCCCTTGTGTGAGCTTAATCAAATTAATCAACTTATAATGACAACAGTACCTATACTTTACAAAATGGTTGAGAAGGTTAAATGAGACAACAAAAGTAAAATAATCCACATGTTGCTGGTATAAATAAATATTAATGACTGTTATAATACTAAATATATCTATTTGAAGTTACCAGGTTCTAGGACTTCTGCTCTCCCTGCCCCCACCTTTTTTTGGTGGAGGTGGAGAGAGTTTCTACATAGCATTCCCTGGCCAACCTGTCAACAGAGTTTTTATTATGCTACTTCTAAACTTAAGTCACCAAAATCCATTTACCAAGTCAGCCAAAAATACATAAGTAGAACTTCTAATAAAAAAATCTACTAGTTCCTCAAATTAATACCACTTCAATTTTTCCAATGAGCTAGACTTTCACTGATAGCTATCCAAAACAAATATTTTGCTCTTCTGAATGGAAAACACTCATTATCTCCTGTAATTCTAAAGTAAACTATACATATATAACTTACATACTGCTTTTCCTGCTATTTATTTTTGCACAAGTCCCCTGCCTCCCCCAATGCATCCCCATAGATGGTTATGCTTCCTATTTATCTAAATCACCTGAAGTGGCTTGGCCTTCACTGGGAGCAACAGAGGGCAGAAAAAGCAACAAACCTGCAGGACACAACTGCTTTTGAAAAGTCACCACAAAAGGATAATGATTTCTACTACCACTGGTCCTTCGCATGTTCCCCATGCAATGACAACCACCCCATAGAAAATGTGTCTTCCGAAGAACATTTAGATTGTCACACAAACTCTAATGATCTACAGAGGGAGTCTGCAGTACCCATGAAATTCTCAAGGTCACAGACTTAATGTCCATTCTTTACAATCTAGTTCCATCCCCTTCAGACACCATCCTCGGGCCGCTATTAAAATTTTTTTTTGAATCTCTCTTTAGAAACCTTTCTAAGGTAAAGAACGAAAGACTTTTTGTTCCATTATACAGAATTTCTTTCTCATCATTACTACCATTGTTATCGTATTTCACAGGTTTATTTAATCCCTCCCAGAGACCTGACAAATGGTAGATGGTCTTTCATATAATTGCTTTGAGCACTTACTATACTATGTGCTAGGCATTCTTCCAAGTCCCCCCACCACTGCCACCAAAGCTCAATATACCTACATACACCTAAAATAAAACTATTAATATCAAACAATTCTTCCATAACTTTAATTGTGTGAAGGGTATTCTTCAGTTTACCAATATCAAAGATGCCCACTACCTTTGTTTAAACTTACACTGCCAAAGAAAACCGAAAGTTATCTCAGTGATGCATTCTGTTCATAGTCATTCAGCACAGTAAGGAAAGTGAGGTGATAACAGGTAATTCAGTGGCTTTCTTGAATGACATAGTCTCACAGATACCTATCTCACTGAGCATCTGTAACACAACCTGTGTTTAAATAAGCCCAATGAATGGTATGTCTACTTAAGTCAGACAGTTATTTGATGAAAGAAAGATGATTTCCATCCTATCGAAGTTAAAATGAGAGGTAAAATCACAATGTGAGCAGGAGGAAATGATTCTTTCTTTCTTCCACTGTCTCAAAATAAAAACTTGAAGTGGAGATGGGGATCTCAGGTTTTCAGATCAAAGGGTTGTAGAGCTAAACAGAAGTGGAAATTTCAGGTACAACTGGAGAAATATTACTTTCTGGTTCTATTTGGAATAAAATCTTCTTAGTATGATTATCACTTTCTTATTAATAATTGCACATCATCATTTAGAAGTACATTATTTTTTAAAAAGTTAAGAGTTGCTCGGATGCAAGCCTAATGATCAACGTATATTGGTTTTGGTGAAGACTAGTTTCACAAAAGTATTTAGCCAGCAAACACATAATAATTACTTAAGGATAAACTGTTTGGCCCAAGTTCACTACTTTTGCATCACACAATTCCAAAACAACCTCCACTATTTCTAACCAGCCATTTGACCGGGTGAGATCAATTACAAGTGAGTGAGTTTGTTGATACAGCAGAAAAAACTAACATCATCTTTACTGGGGATAAATGTGTACACATTTCCTTCTTTCCTTTATTCCTTCCTTCCTTATGATCTCTCTACCTCTTTCCACTCTTAAAGAACTGGAAAACAAAACTAAATGCGATCATCACAATTTTCCATTTATTAACCAAACTATATAATTTCATCTTTGCATGGATGTTCCACTTTTACAACTACTCTAAGGATGGGTTGGTTTCCTCTAGAGACTTTGAACTCTATCATTTTCAGAATTGATGATATGTTTATGTAGTCTGAAGACAATGTCTTACACACCACAGATATTACCTTTTTATCTTCAAGCCATTTCAGTCAATAAAAAGTATCCATCTTCCATCCTTTCCCTCTTTTTTAATTAAATTAAATTTTTTTCAGTGTTCCAAGATTCATTGTTTATGCACCACATCCAGTGCTCCATCCAATAAGTGCCTCCCATAATACCCACCACCAGACTCACCCAACCTCCCACCCCCCTTCCCTCCAAAACCCTCAGTTTGTTTCTCAGAGTCCATAGTCTCTCATGGTTTGTCTTTTTTTAACAGTTTGCCATGGGTTGAATCTGTGTTTACTTTCACAAAACTCACAATAGTTTCTCTCTATAAGTAACTGTCAATTCATTTCCATGCCGAAGGAAATACAAGATATTCTGTTCACCAGAGATGTTAGCCCAAGATTGCAGACATGGCCAGCCTTGAGAGGACTGTGGCTGCTCCATGTTGAAACATACTGCACTATGTTCTTGCTATGACTGCTCTTTGTATTGCCATAAACTGTATATATGTATGGGTGGACACAATTAACTTAATCACAGTCATCATTAAGAGGTTTTCAGACAGAAACAATAAAGAAGATAATGAGAAAAGCATTTGAGAACACAGGTTATGATATATCCTGGTAGTCATTCTTTTCAGAAGTTTGTTTAAATGTAAAATAAAGTTTATGAATAAATGAGTTTTCATAAATGGTAACCATGTAACAGTTCTTATCCAGGATAAAATTTAAAATTCTAGGGCATTCAGTATTAGACTTATAAGGGGAGAAAAGGTGTTCCTGAGGCTAAAATGTTTCCAAAATTCAGTTGACCCATGGCCTAATTCTTTTTCTTTCTCCCCCTCATATGTTATTCATTTGGTCATTTGCATTCAAATTATCATGGGATCACTGCTTTCTCTTCTGGTCCTACATTCCTGTATGATTTCACTGCAGTTTCTAGTTAAGTACTGGTCCCAAAAAGGGGCCAAAGAGGACTAAACAGGACATTGTAATTATCTGAGAAATTAATTTTATTTAAGTGCAAAAGAAGCTTTCTATTTATTTTAAAATACCTTTTCATTTAGGGGGTTAAAAGATATAATAACTAGTCTTTACTATGTCAAAACAATGCAAATAATTTTTTCAAGAGTTTTTTTAGTTAATATATAAGACCTTTTCCCATCATGTTTTGCAAATGAATATGCATAGACCTGAAGAGGTGAAAGAAACTTCCAAGGTTTAACAGCTAGCAATTGGCCAGGCTAGGACTGTAAACCAGAGCTGGAGTATTCCAAAGACCTGGTTCTTGCTCAGAATACTATATAGACTCCCTAAGTACATCTGTCAATGAACTACTTCTCCTCACCCCAAGACATAGAGTACAAATTAGTTTGTCAGGATAAAATAATATTTAAAAAAGAATTAAAGAGGAAGAAATAGTTAATATTAGACTAGAGAATGAAAAGCAGTGTTAAGAGAAAAAAAAGCACTCACACAAAAAGAAAAATATTTTGAGTTTAGAAAGTTTAAAATGTGATGCTGTAGTTTGGGGGATATAGAGACAGCTAGATGATATCTAAGATACAGAGCCAACACCAGCCACATTTGTCTTTCTATGCAGTCCCTAAATCCCTAGAAAACGGTTAAGCTCCTCTTCAAATTAGGAATGTTAGAATATCCAATGACTCAGCTATTTTACCTGATAGGACATTTAATGTACCAAAAATCCTAATTAGTTAAAGGATCTGGAAAACTTGCACAATGTGTAATATACCATAAATTTAACTATTTGTTTCCAAAATTAACATTCCAATGACATGGATACTATGATAACATGGCAAGAGACAGAGGTATGTGTGTGTGCGGGTGTTAGGAAGTGGAGATGGGTATGTAAGGGAGAAAAGGGAAAGACGAGAAGAATTAAATTCTAAATAGAAGCACGTTAAAATTGCTTATTAGGTACATCTTATCTATTTTGATGACACATATTAAGAACATTTCTACCAAAAGAAAGTGAACATATTCTTTTACGAAGATTTATTATCTTTCAAAAAAAGACTAATAGCATACAAAGTCACTTGTTTCAATCGCACATACTTCCCTCCCTGTTTATTTCCTAACAACATCCTCTAAATACAATCAAGGATGGTAAGTATAATTTTGTGAAATTATTTATACAACATATCATTTGGT